CATAAACCAAGCATCAGAGTTGGCAGTCGGGTCGGCTTGCAGAGTCGGTAGTCTGATACGGGCTTAAGGCCGGAATCAGACTGCGCGTTGAAGATTGAAATTGAAGATTAAAAATTAAAATTTGACTAGTGAGGACAAAGAAATTTTAGCTCCTATTGTTTTGATTGGTAAAATTTCAATCTTTCAATCTTCAATCTCAATATTCAATGCACTGAACGTGGACATTGAACTATGTAGCCAATGTCCACGATTCCGTCGGTAATGTCCACGATTTTTTTTATTGTTTCTTCTCTATGTCCACGATTTTCGGTCCGTTAGATAGATAAAGACGAACAATCAATCTGTCAGCGCTTGTTGAACAAACGATTGTTCGTCTTTGTCTATCTAACGGATCGAAAATCGTGGATAGCGAAGAATACAATCAAAACATCGTGAACATTACCGACGGGATCGTGGACATTGGCTACATAGTTCAATATCCACGTTTTGTGGACATAGAGGCGCTTCAAAATAAGATTGCAGGTAAATCCCAGATATGGTTGCTCTCATGCTTCTCTCTGATGTTGTTGACACGAATTCGCATGAAATGTGATTTTTATTGTAATCAAATGCATTGTATTTAAATGCATTATTACGCAGAGATATATCAATAATTATTAGTTTGGCACTTTCAAGTGTTATATTAATATAACTAATAAGTAATAAAAACATAAATAATATGACTAATTATGCAAAAAATGTTAAATTAATTAGAAAAAATTAATTTTATATGTCGTAGAATAATAGTCATCATGCTTATTGATTGTTAGATATGCGATAAATTTGCGGAAGTGTCTGACTTAAAAAACATGACAATGATTGATCGTTCTAAAGTCTATGTTGCAATAATCTATTACGCTTCAAATAATGTGACAGGTATATTTAAACTTGAAAGAATAAAAAAGAAGGGACAAATTGTAGGAAATATAATAATTTGTTGTATACTTTTTACTAGCTACACTTTCTACATTTTTTTCTTTCTTTTCTATTCTTTTATTAATTTATTGTAAGAGATCAGTATTTAGTCTATTCTTATTTTAAGATCGTCTCAAGTGATGTCTTAAATAAGATGCTTATACAGCTCCGGTAACTGGCTTATGACATCCTTAAGACTAATAAGATAAATATATTAATTAGTGGATCCAATTATTGATCGAAATAATAAAAATTTTTAATATTAGGCTTGTAATAATAAGTACGATTCTAAATAAATTCGTGTTATTAAATTTTTATAAACACAAATTTATTTAAAGTCGTATATATCATTAAACTCTTATTAATATTACAAATTTTTATCATTTAATCCATCCAAAAATTGGATCATGTCTGCTAATTATCCACTGGTACATTTACCTTACTTAAGACTATCAATATGAGTCATAATATTATTTCTTATTCCTATTTTTATTTAAAAATATATACAGTTCCAAAATCAAATTCTACTCGGTCGTAAAAGAAGAGACCAACGTAATTCACTGTCGTTTTGACATCGCCGGGTCACAACGACAGATGGCGCCACGATGGAAATTTCCAGTCGCCTGCGTGAAGCAGAAATCGAACGAAAATCGTCAACCTCAGCTTCGTCGGAGCGATGTCAGAGGCTCTGTAACATTCACTGATTCACTGACATTCACGTTTATGTGGTGATTGCAGCCCACATTTTTACGAGATCCGCGCGATTCGGGTCAGCCTGGGGAGAAAAAAACAGGTTCGCGATCGTGACTCACTTCCGCCGTCTACGTCACCGTTGGTGAACGAAAACAAGGTTCGTTTGTCCGCTCGCTCGCTACGCGACAAAAGCCTTGGTAGCGTCATCGGGGTACCGCCTGGACATCCGCGCGTGACACATTGCTGCTCGTTCCTTGTCGCTGACGCGCTTGTTGCTGGGAAGGAGCATCCGACGATGGTGAGTACCACGGGAGTGCGTTGCCGTCCGCGTGCGATGCGAGAAACACGTCGACCGTCACGAGCCGACACGACGAGCATGCGTCTAAACGAGTCCGCTACGTGCGTATGTTCGCAGGCGTCTTACTCCGAGGATCAGCTGGCCGGTAAGTGGAGGGCGACTTGTGTAACAACAGCCGTGCAGAACGAGAACCGAGAGAGAGGCTCGCGATTGCGAACGAATGAGTGAATGAGGGAGGCGATACGGTCGATGGTCCACGCCGCGCCGCGCTCTTCTCCCCGGGGCTTTTGATTCAGGTCAAGAGTATCCTCGCCTTTTTAGACGCACCCTCGATGCGCGCGCGCGCGCACGCCTGTCAGGGACTGCCTTTTATGGTCCGGTATTTGAAAGCAAGTCGCCGTTGCTGTAGGCATTGTGAAGGACTTTATCACGCTCCCGTCTTCTCGATGACTCGCCGATTATTCTTGTTTTACTCTCGCGAGTATACGAGTCATGTGCGTTGTTGATGTAAAACGAGCTTAGGAATTGACGGATGTAAGACGTTCCTTGGCGTTTTGACATTATATCACGTTTGTTATAGTAATTGCTAAGTGATAAGTCTTATTTTTCTCCGCAAAAGTGCCAAGATGTACGTTTACAGCTATCAGGAGCTGGCTAATAGAATGATGTCATCCATGGAGGGTAAACGATCCTATTATTGGGTGGTACCCAACAGTAGCTTCATAATTTATTATAATTAACCCTTGATACACACGATTGAGTCTTTGTATCCTGCATATTTCTTTTCTTTAAAATACTAGAAGCACCTGACTAAGTAATAGTCTCCATTCTGTTCTTTTTTTTTAACATACAGTATGCGCCAAAAAAAAAATGCGACTCTTACAACTAACACTTCAATTGTCAGTTTAGTTAAATAAAGTGAGTGGACGGGGACAAACTTGTTTATAACACAACAAATATTTTGTCCTACCAAATATTTATTCGATATGATTTTATGATTTCCTTTAATTGCAATCACTGCGTTACTGTGTCACACTCAGCAAACATAATAGTGATTAAAAGAGAGTCACATTTTTTTTGGCGCATACTGTACAACAAACATTACAAATCTTTTCGAAAGATGTTGAGGTATATGTAAAAATTACTTAATAATTTTTATAAAAGTAATGAAAATTAATCCGGAACAAACCGGAAAATTATCGTGTGTACTAAGAGTATTCTAGATAGTGGCAAGAAGAATTACAAAAGATTTGTTTTTTTTTTTTTTTTTTTTTTTTTTTTCGAAGAATGTTTTAAACTGTACATTGCTGTAATAAATTGAAGCGAAACAAATTATATTTGTTCGCACTAATGTTGACATTCTTCGAAAAAAAAAAAAAAAAAAAACAGCTATAATCTCTACTTACATTTTTCTTAAAATTTGCTTTATCATTTATAATTCTTTCTCTCTCTGTTCCTAAAATTATTTTTATACGTAAGATACGAATTGAACGCTTGAAAGTGATTAAAAGTAAGTGTATCGCTATAGAATTCCAGGAGGCGTTTCAGTTGTTTGACAGCCGCGGGGATGGAAAGATTCACGTGTCTCAAATCGGCGACGCGTTACGCGCTCTTGGTCAAAATCCGACCGAATCAGACGTGAAGAAATTCACTCATCAGCACAAACCGGACGAGCGTATTAGTTTTGAGGTATTTCTACCGATCTACCAGGCGATTAGCAAGTCCCGTGCCTCTGACACGGCGGATGACTTTATCGAAGGCCTGCGTCACTTCGACAAGGATGGAAACGGTTTCATATCGTCTGCGGAATTGCGACACCTTTTGACGACACTCGGTACGCATTAAACAGATTACTTGGATAAATACATATGTGTGCGCAGAATTTTTATCTGTACCGTTGCAGGTGAGAAACTCAGCGACGAGGAAGTGGAAACGTTACTGGCAGGTCACGAAGATTCACAGGGTAATATCAACTACGAAGATTTTGTTCGCCAAGTCATGTGCGGCTAAGCTTAGCTACTTAAACGCACATAAGAGTATTATTATTATTATTATCGTTTATATTTTGCCATTTATTCATCGAATCTGTTAAAGCGTTTTACTTTTTGAAGTATCATATCATAGCATGTGTACCTATATGACGATTTATCTCGAGGGAACTCTAATGTGGACATACTATTTTATTACGTACTATGGGAAAGAAGGTTAGTCCCTTTTATATAAGAGTCTAAATTAGTTAAACAATGGTAGGTAAAGAACAATCTAGCGCATTGTGCCTTGACGTATATACTCCGATTTACGAGCATTTAGTGATATCGATAGTAAGACATACACCTATTGTGCGATCTTCAGCGAGATATCTGAATTCCGCGGACATTCCAAATTTTTGTAAGATAGACTTCGAGAATTGAGAATGTCTGGCCGTTCGAGGGTGAGGGCCGAGCATTTTGATTTATGCCAACACTTAATGGCTATGTATTTTTCTCCTTCTTCTTTTGTCCTCTTCGAATTCAATATATCCTCTATGTAGTTAAAAAAACGTATGTTCGAGAATCTTCCATCTACTGATAGATGCCCTAGAAAAAGTGCGCAGAGAGTATCCACTTTATTTATTTATGCATGAGCGTATTTATGTCTTCGAAATGCGCAAGAAAAGATTATTGTACATTGCAATGAATAAAAAAGAAATTGCTCTAAGAATTCGATGTAAAACTTCGTCGACGATGCCTCTTATAAGTAAAACGGGAGTATATTGTTCTTGCAATGATTCGTCGAATATAATCGTGTTATCAATTGGAAAATCCTAGGATTTCTTTCACAAATGCCTTATATTTAATTCTACAAATGTATATTAACTTTATCTTGATTATTTAAATCAAGATTATTATCTTGATTTACCTTACTTTTTACCTTTTTCTGATTCTAGGAATTAAAAAAAGGTAAATAGTTAAAATTATAATATGCCCGTTTCTACCAATATAGTTTAATTTTAATCTTGTTCAACTAACTCTTCATCTTTTTCTAGTTCTAAGAATTAAAAAGAGATAAAGAATAAGGTGAACCAAGATTAATTTACATTAGTAGAAATGAGCATTAATTTGCTGATGAATAAGTACTTCGAAATAAATGTCGATTAGACAATCAATGCCCTTTTCTACTAGGGCTAATGATTTGCTTTAAATGTCGAAGTATCATATCAATCAGAAATGGGCATTGATCGTCTAATCGAAAATTCAAATTCTTTCAAATCGAAGTTTTTTAAACAGTCCTAATTTCTACTAATATAGAACCCTTAATATACATGATTTGATCATTCGTGTTCTGCACATTTCCTTTTTTCAATAAATTAGGAGTATTAAGTAATGAGTTATAACACATATATATACAATTTTTTAAATATTTACATAATTTTATAAATTTTTAAAGATGTTAAAGTATATATAAGAATCACTTGTGACCATTTCTATCAATGTAGATTGACTTTAATTTTGGTTTAATTTACTCTTCATTCTTTTCTAATATTCTTAGAATTTTAGAAAAAGATAAAAACTGACTTAAACCAAGATTAAAATTAACCGTTAGTAGAAACGGGCATTAATAATTCTTATATATTTGTTAAATGAAAATTAATCCGGAACACAAATGATTCATCGTGTGTCATGAAGGACCGGATAATCACTGTATGTATACTGAATGTTAACTTTAACCTCGGTGTAATTTACTCTTTACTTCTTTCTAATTCTTAGGGCTCTTTCTACCAATATAGTTTAATTTTAATCTCGATTTAACTAATGGCGAATTCGATTGGAAGCACTAGTGCGCACTGGTGCATATTAAAGCCATTGTACACTGATTTAATTTAAGTATAAAAATGAAATGCAAATATTTCGAATTATGAAATACATATTTTACCTAATAATACAATAAAATGTATTGAGTATTTCACGATTTAATCGATTTCTATGTTTATTTATAAACATATCTTTACATTATTTTGTGTACGACGGCTTTAATGTGCACCAGTGCGCACTGAGTGCGTCCAATCGAATTCGCTATTACTCTTCATCTTTTTCCAGTTTTGAGAATTAGAAAAAGATAAAGAGTAAGTTGAACCGAGATTAAAGTTAACCTACATTGATAGAAACGGGCCTTAAAACAAGAAAAAGGTAAAAAGTAAGTAAAACCAAGATTAAAATTAATTTACATTGGCAAAAAAAAGAGTATAAAGTTTTTGATGCCCTATCAATTTTGAGTTGGCCTGTCTCGTTTTGTTTGTTTATGGAATTATTTCATTAAGTTTATGTACACAGAATTTAAGATTTTAATTCATTATTCTTTTTCAAATTTAATTGTTTTTATTAGTCTTATTATTCTAATTTTTTAAAATAATTTTTTAGGGTTATTTCCTTATATTTTTACTTCTTCTAAGCATAGGTTTTGTTTTGCTTTGTCTTTAAATATCTGAGTTAGGTTAATTTTATATTCTGTTACTAATTATTTAGGTAGTTTTTTGGCCCATCTTACTCCATTGGGGACTCCGTTTGTTCTTATGATATCCGAAGAATCAGTGTTCGATTTTTGAACGTTCCAGCGTTCAAAAATCCGCAAGTGGCGCCTGTGCGCGCACGTGGTAGAGTTTACCGCGCGTTGATTCGTGGACCGTTTGATCTGACGTCACGTGGAAGGGCGACAGCGCTGTATACGCCGTGAAGTCGGCCGCGACTTCCAGCAGTGTCGCTTCGAACATTGTCGGATGAAAGTCGTGGGATCTCGTGCGCTCTGGGTGTTACCGTAAGCCGCCGCAATCAGTTCCCAATCGTCACCGATCGCTACTCCAGCGAACATTTCGTGTTGGAGCAGTGCACTTAAAGCCGCCAAAATTTTACGAAGAAAGAAGTATGAGTATTAACTCCAGTCTGTCGTTAAGTAATAGTGAAAGTAGTAAAAAGCCGATAATGCCGAGTTTAATTTCCAGTAATTGGTGAGTAGCCCGAGTACACGTAACTGCGCCATTTTTGCCCTCGCCTTCCCTGCGAGTCGCCATCTTGCACGTCGCGTCCTGATCTTGTGTTTTTATTTCTGTTTTTCCATCAGCTTCTTTTCGTCATCCTGTCTTCCTTTTCCCTTCCCCCTGTTTATAAACTGTTCGAGCTCGTATCATGTAATCATCGTCATTATTACGTTGTTTTTGTTAGGCAAATTGAAATATGAGACGGTTTGCGAGTCAGGTGAACATTCTCGGGTATACGATTGTCGTTATCGTAATCGCTGGAAAGAATGCGTTTGGAATGAGACAACTCGGCATCGTTATCCGAGCCGTCTTATCCATGATAAGACGTCCCTTGAGAACTAAGTATTGCAAATCAGCCGCGCGAAATCCTCGCGAGTGTCGATTTCGCGTCGCGGCCACGTGACGTATCCGTCTAAAAATCTATTCCGCGTATTATGGTATACCTACTTGTCAGGTTCAGTGGCGTTGCCTCATCAGCTGTTCCGTTAGGCGATCGGCGTACGTTTTTAATGGCACGACGCCTTTCCGAGATAGATCCCTCTTGAACCGACCTCGCCTCTAAATAATATTTTGCAATAACGTTTACAAGAAAAATAATACGATTACCTATCGTCACGTGATGTCAAGAAAAATGACTTGTCAGTTTGCGACAATCAAAATACAAAACTATAGAAATATGGGTTGCCCGAAACGGGCGACCATTCTCATCTCAAACTCCGTCACTCGCGACCTTCAACTCTCCGACCTGCCTCGTGTAAAACCAGGACGTTCGTGAGATCTTAAATTCTATGGGTCAATCGTGTAACTTTTTCTCTAGGATGGAAACGTGAAAAGTAAACATTTTTTTCTATGCATATATATGTGTATATACGATAAAGGCATCTATAAAAATTTTCACGTTATCGCTTTAGAGAAAAAATAACATGATCGATATCCTGAACGAGATTCTTGGAATTATAGACGGTATTCATAGTTAATCCGATCTTGTATTTAAAATCTTATCAAGATCTCGAGATTGCTCATTCACTTCAATGACATTTATCATTTATCAGTTCGAAAAAAAATGAGAACGTAAAGAAAAAATAAAAAATATATTTAGACATACTTTTACTCCTCTATAATCAGTTATTACATCAAAATTGCATTTTAAAATTAATATTACATGAGAAGAACGATTTTGCTGAAGTATCTAAAGATTTAGGTATAGATAGATCTGAAAATAATTTTTGTTGGACTATCAAAATAATTATATAGGGCACTCAAATTGATTGCTATGAATATCAAAACTTTTTGCATTATTATTATGCATTATTATTTTGATAGTCTAACAAAATTATTTTCAGATTTGTATCCAACCAAATTTTTTTAGATACTTCAGCAAAATCTTTCTGTGTAAAAAGTTTTAATGATTCAAAATATTCAAACTTACTTTTTGTTTTTTTTTTCTGTTTGATTTTCAGTTGTGTCGTTGTAGCAAATGAGCGATATGATCATTTCATTGGCTGATTCTCAAGATTACTTACGATGATTTTAAGTATAAAATTGGAGCATAAACTGTCCTACGATTTAACCATTCTCATGCGGAGCCGCTCATCACCCTATATTTTTTTTATTGATATATATCAGATCGTTAGAGATATTGCTTAGGAAACGTTCTAGATATCTAATCTAGAACGCATACAATTTTGAAGATATCTAAACAAAATCGCGTGTGATACCGAGCATATCGTTTAATTATCTGATACACAGCCGTGGAATTTTCCACAATTTAAACGGTTTGAGATGACCTAACGGACGGCTCTTGATTAAATCCAACGTGAAAACGGCCGATACAGTCAGTTAAAAATGTAGGAAATCATGTTCCTCGTAATTAATTTTATGGACCTTGTTTTCATTATTGAACGATATTCAATCAGCTCCGAAATTACGCAGCCAAGTTTGAGATACACATCATCCTCAAATGTTAAAATTCGTAAACAAAGAATACAGTTACACCGTTACTTATCAGCTATCTAATCGGTTATCTAATCAACTATTTGAAATTATTTTTTGATAGGGAGAGAAATAAATAAATAAATGTTGATATAAAGAACTTGATTTACGTATCTATATTTGCAGTCATTATTTACGATTTACGAAATAGAATTTTTTAAAATCACATTTGCGTTTATATTTATATTTATTCAAATATACTGTTAACACGAATTGTACACCGTATAATATAATGACTCACTTATAAATAAGGAACATTTTTAAATCGTATTTATCACCACCTGCCCTTTGTTACAGCACATGTTAGCCATATATGAGCTCTGTCGTAATTAGCAACGACGATTAGGCGTGATGTAACGATTTCTTTGAATGCCCTCATGGAAAAACAGATGTACGAGCGTTCACAGTTGTATCCGGGTCTGAATTTTTCAAGTGGCTTTGTTCGTGTTCCTAACTGGAGCGAGTATTCCGTACGTAAAACGAGTTCAGAGAGTGTGATATTCGAATATTATATAAAGTGTAGGAAAGTATCTTAAAAATTTCGAAACAAAACTATAAGAACGTTTACAATCATCACTTGAAAAAAAAAATACTTCAAAATTGTTCTCGATAAGGAGAATCTGAATAGTTTATAAGGAAAATAACGAGAGGGTCGATATCTGTGATTCACTCTCTTTACGATCATGTTCATTTTGCATGAAACGGGCAATGCGCCGTTAGAACAGCGACATTGGCTTTGTGCTTTCTTTTACAACGTCAGGTTGCCTCGTGCCTCGGCCAATCGATATACGGCCAGCAATGTCGCTTTATCTCATAGTTACATCTTTTGTGAGCCAAACGTGATTTCTGCCAGCTGGGAGAGCGTTCGAATTTACTGACAATTGTCCTAAATCAAACGATAACGTTGAAATAAAGAGAAGAGCTCGAACGTGAGTCGTTTTGTTCGATCATATTTCTCAAAGGTGATAGTAACACGCGCATACGTGATTCTCACTGCAAAATCATACCCGGCATATCACGGTGATACGCGAACAATGAATAAAGTTCTCTCGTAGCTTTCTATATTTCGTTTACTTGAACGAATTATTATTATGTTTCTTGCATGGAAAGAACAGTGGAAAAAGAGTCTGGTTGCATTAATTGGAATCTATTATTATAATTTTATTTGAGATAACCAGAATTCTGATTGATACGATCAGAATTTTGTTTTGATTTTCAACTAGAAATTTTTTAGTGAATGGTTTTACTGAAGTATCTAAAACTTTAGTTGAATACAGAATCTGAAATATGATAACTTTGTCGAGTCATCAAAATAATTATACATATAGAATATTTAGACGAGAAAAAATGATACAAGATACCGTAAAAGATTCTAACATTTCAGCAACCAATTTAAGTCACAATTATTTTAGTTCAAACAAAATTTATTTTTCAATTTTTGTATCTGCCTAAATTTTTAAATAATTCAGCAAAATCGTTCTTTCGCGCATTTGTGACTCTTAAAAGGCTCTTCAACAATTTAAAAAGAGTAAATTTATGTAATAAAAATAAGATGAATAAATGGACTTAATAAATCTGAAAATAATTCGGCTACGCTATTCTTATTTATTTCTCTGCTCTTATAAAAAAATTATTAAACGTTATTAAAAATTTAGAAGTTTTTCGTGATATTTGTCACATTTTGCGTTTCTAATCGATCGCGCATACTCGAAGTATCGTCATCTATTTTTGGCTGCATTATCATCGCTCTCAATTTTACGTGATAAGAAAAAGTACTGATAATTGTACTACAATAACACATTATCAGTTTTTGCGTACATAATTGTATTAACACCACAGTTATGCCTTATATCCCTTATATAATCCCATTAGTCAGCGAATTAGATTATACTTACTATTAGCAACTATTATACAGCCTGTAATTAAAGGACGAATCATTTCTCGTTTGTGTAATGACACGTATATACTGAGCAACAGACATGCACTTTATATAAAATTTTAAATTTTGTATCCATATTGTTTTCTTACCTTTTGTATTAAATTACAACTAAATTTTGATTTATTATGTTAAAATAAATATGGTTATTTTTAACGTTAACTTCAGTGACTAATTCTTGGATTCTAAGTCCACTTTTTCAAATTAATCAGTTTGAAAGAATATGCTAATAAACACGAATGCAAACATTTTCGGATATCGTCGTAAGGTTTCTTCGTTCTTACGGTTCATCCTCTTTAAGATAAATCGTTACGTTAAACGGCTGATTGCGAATGATAATGTCATCGCATCGAAAACACTTTGTCCCCGTGGAAGAGTACAATTGGATGATATGTTGCAGGCGTGTACGTTTCTAATTAAATTTGTCCGAGAATTGGTTCCGAGAAGCTTCCAGAAGAACGATTAATAAAACGCGAACGAGACTCGTGCAGGAACGTGCAAGGTCGTTGTTGCGCGAAGAGTCGCGGAGCACGAAGGCGAATTATTCTGGAATTATTCTGGTTTCATTTGTGTGTTCCTAAGCGGCTTCTACAATAAGAAGACTTAGGCTTTAAGCCTTAAGCCGTAAGAAATTGACCAATCACGATCGATCATTCTCCTCACATTCGACTGTGATTGATCAGTTTCTCAAAGCTTAAGTTTTACGCCTTAAAATCTCATTGTAGACGTCGCTTTATATACGAACGTGTATCATTTTTTTTTCTCCGAACAGATATCGAAGAAATTGACGCGTCTTTTATTACATTCTGACATATCGCAGCGGATGATGAATATTATCACGCTATATTAAACATTTAAACGTAAATAGATGACCTATTATTACATTCCGTGTCGATAACATTTGAACTTGGAAATCGCTTCTAATCATATCTTCAATTCTTTTTGAGACTTTCATATAATTGAGGGCTGTATGAAATTTACTCGTTATATCATTTTTTACATTGGAGTTCATGCGGGATATCATAAAACTCGCTCGATTTTTGTCGTTTATAATTTTACAAATTATTGAAATTATATACTGCAGATAAATACGTAGGGAAATCCTCGTTCTTTAGTCAAATCCAAGTGCGATTGATACTGTCAACAACATTATCAATCATCATTTTTCACAATCCACTTTAAACTGTAATCTCGTATAATACCGTGATTGCAATCATAACAATACACGGAAAAAGCAATTTTGCTGAAGAATCTAAAAATTTAGCTAAATATAGGTCTGAAAATAATTTTGTTGAACCATTAAAATAATGGGTGTGTGAAATTAGCATCGGACCATATAGTTCCGGAGTTTTAATCAGAGTTCTAGGTTCCTTTTAAAAAGTTAAACAGTTCAAAATAATTATGTAGGAATTTCGCAGCATAATAAGCAATGCTGCAAAAAGTTTCAACATTCTAGCAGTTTAAATGTCCTATATAATAATTTTAACGGTCCAACAAAATTATTTTCAGATCCGTTTCTAACCAAATTTTTAGATTCTTCAGCAAATCGTTCTTTCCGTGTACAATTTTCTAAATATTGATATAAGGAAATATCGTGATATATCAAAATATCTCTTTGATAATTTATATCGTGGGAATCATTATTATTCAAAATGCAAGATGCGATTATTGATCGCATAATATTATGTTATTATTGCTTGAGGCAATATGCTAATATGTAATAAATGAACTATAGATCCTTATTATTACTTTTAAATGGCCTATTTGCCTTAATTGCTGCAACATACACTTATACATATATACGCAAGCGCAGCAAATTATTTATAAATTGCGCGTCACATAATTCAATCTCATTTACAAAGTGTTGCAGGTACACATTTACACTTTACGTAAGCCTGATATTTCCTAATGTCAAGGCGAGGCAAAACTGTAGAATAAAACAATAGTTAAAAGAAGGGCTGCTAGCCAGTTATAACATAAAGAATATTTAATAAACTTTCATACATATTTACATACAAACGTTTCGACACCGATCGGGTCATTTTCAATGTAAAACAACAAACAATCTCACATAAATTATCGAAAAATTCAGTCAAATTATAATGTCCAGTAAAAAGTTCGGTTGTATTCGTAATATGCGGTCCATATGTAAAAATATCAAAGGAGATCTCATCTCACTTTTCACAATTCTACAATCATCTTACAATGAAATAATAAATTAACATTGCGTTACAGTTTAAATTATCATAGTTGATAATTTGACTGAATTTTCTGGTAATTTATGTAAGATTGTTTGTTGTTTTACATTGAAAATGACCCGATCGGTGTCGAAACGTTTGTATGTATGTATGAAAGTTTATTGAATATTCTTTATGTTATAACTGGCTCGTAGCCCTTCTTTTAACTATTGATTTATTCTGATTGAGCCATATTGATAATTATTGTAGAATAAAATATTTAACACCGTGTGGATTATTCAGCCAAAAACGTTGTAGATGTAAGCGAACCGATCACACATATTTCTCTTTCTCCTCAACGTGCAAAACACGTATTATTGTTTGGCGGAACGCCCGTTTAAATGACGTCGTTGATACGATTCCCGATCCAACAATACTCAGTAAAGACCTGAGCTCAAAGATGACTGTAACTGACAATTACTATCTGATTGAGTCGTGAAAAGTGAGTGCTCAGATAGCCAAGTGTGATGTAGCGTGTTGTGCAAACTAATGCATTGCATGTATTGTTATATATTTGCTGTACATTTGCTAACATCACAATGGGACATATTATAAATACAACAACATGACTGTTTATATATATATATAATCAGTTGTCGAAATTTCTAAAGTAAACTGTAAGCAATGATGGTACATTATGTTGTCGGCAACATGACAGCAACGTGTTAGCAACGAATAATTAATCGTTTCTTGAGCTCATTGCTAACAAAATGCTGACAATATGATAACACTAGTTGTTGTCGAGGATATTCATGCTGACATATTGCCATCGATTTGCCATTCCAAGAATTCGAATTCCATTGAGTTCAACGCGACAGACATAATGCTGTCTCACCTTGTCCTGAGTTTGTCGAAATTGGTTGCTGCAACATGTCAGCAAAATACACTGCATTTGGCTATCTGCATCTGGGTGAGTCGTAGATGAACACATGTTTGGCATAACTATGTGCTGTATATTATACGTCATACATAGTCATGCCAAATATTATGTTGATCTATAACTACGACTCACGTTTCACGACTTATTGTTAGTTACAGCCATCTTAGTGCTCAGGTCCTGACGCGTGTACCATATAAATCGCATACGTCGGCTGCCTGCTGTGGCAGTCGCGCATTTTCCCTTTAACCGTGGATTCCACTCCAGTTTTTTCCGCACGACTTCGCCGCGGTAGACGCGACTCGACGGGACGTCATATCACCATCGGTAAAAACTCCCTACCGCTCGCTATATCTCGCTGAAATTTCCACTCAAATGCCAAGGTAGACATGTCTTTTCCGCTTTTTTTCCGTGCATTCTCGTGACATTCTGACAGAAACGGCGTATTATCAATGACATTCGCCGACGATGACAGCCACTGTAGTTGTATTTCGATCACCAGTTATTAATAAACATTTAATAAGATTAAATGCCTTGATTGTGATAAACCGATTATCCTTAGCCTGGAGAAGAGTTATATGCATCCTGAAATTACATAAGCATTCCATATATTAAGAATTTCAAGAGTCTTGGCAGTACCCACTGTGTTTATGTCCCGAAAATGTCAGCTGCTCTTTAAAGAACAACATCTCGTGACGTCAATCGGATATTCGTGTATTCACTGAAAAAAAAAAACAGATATTTTGGGTATTGATATTTTAATAATTTGTTATCTTTTTTCCTTTATCGCAATCCTCAATCATGCTTGCATACATCCATGCACACCAATAACATAGTTCTAAACAGATTGCATTGTTATTTATTCAAAAATATGTCAATTTTTTTAACCTTCGACTACAGCAACGGGTCATTTGAATCCGAAGCGAAATTTGTAGATGATTGTACAATCTGTACGATTGATATCAATCATACAGATTGTACAATCGTCTACAAATTTCTATAAATATACTATAAAGTTTTAAATTGTAATATGTAAGTGAAAAAACTTTGAACCTTTCTCTATCAACTGTTGTAAAATGTAAATTTACTTGCATTCTGTTTTTAAAATTTAAACAAGATGCTTTAAAATTTAGATGTTATGGTTTTTTCAGCTATAGTTGAGGATTAAACGTTGATGTACTTGATGGTGTTATAAGATTCAGAATTTGGTTCTAATAATTAAAATGTACATTGCAGTGAAATGTCTAGTAAATGCATGGACGAGAGCCTAGAGGAAGGCTCCAGGCTGCAACAGCACTACTGTATAACGCTGGGCGTGGGGCCTCTGTGGTGGTCCTGATGTGCCCCATGCCGCATTGTCTGTATCTACAGTCAACACAGAGAGCCGCGGCGTGGGGATCAAGCAGAGTCAGCTCTCTGTGAGCTCCCACATTGTACAAGTACGTATTTTTCACTACTTAAAGACATCTTCAGAAATCGGTAATTTATTTACGACTGTGAATGCGAAATAACGTATTAAACGAGAATTAAATTCTGATTATCCGCATTTTTTTTTATTACAACTTACAGGAGGATGAATTGTTGAAAGCCGTAAGAAGCAACGAACCATTGCGTCTAACGTTCACTCTCCACTTGACTGAGAGTACATCCGTCGAGTGGGAGACCGTAGCATGGCGCCGCTGTCTATATATTCGCGTACCCAGCTGCCTTCTGCCTGAAGGATCAAAAGAGGGCTTTGTTTCGCTCCTAGAATATGCCGAAGAAACACTACGCTGCACCAATATCATTGTTTGCCTTCGCAAAGATAGATCAGACCGAGGTACTTGTCGTTTGCCATTCTTCGGCACAAACGTCGAAGACTTTTGCGTTGATGAGAAAGATTCACCGTCTAAATCGTTCTGTTGTTATGGTCTAGCAATGCTGGTTCGTACCTTCATGTTCTTGGGTTTCACGGTCCTGCCGCCAACTCATGCCTTGGTACCACCAGGCAGTGACGCTGGCAATCTCTACATGCTCTATGCCATCGAGTAATCGGCAAGCAGTTCTGCCTCTCAAATTTAACGCGCAGGTATTGATTCGAGAGAAAAGATACTGAAGTTTCTCAGCTCTACAATTTTTGTTGTACTATTTGATTATTTAATCAACTCATTTTTCGTTTACTATAACGACTTTCTCCTTGCTTTCTTATGAATTTAGTATATGATTTCAGATTATTTGTATTTATTGTAATTATTTGTATTTTGTTATATTTTATTACAGGTACTACCAAGTCTAAGGTAAAATTCTGAAAAGAAGGACAATTGGAATTTTGGGAAACAGCACTTTTTTCTTTTATATTTTAAGTTTTACTATACATATATAATTTGCTTTTCGTTATTAGTTCCAAATTGGGAAATATATAAATTTTATTTATATCAAACGATTATATTTAGTGCAGAAAAACTTCGGCGTTAAATTAAAGAGGCTTAATGAGAAAACAAAAAAAAATTATAGTCGCGAATACGTAGAACGCGTACATAAAAGGCTTTCAATGGGTATATCGATTCATTCTCTTGAACACAATGTTAATAACTCTTATAAGAGCATATAAGCTGCTGACAAAGCTTCCCACGTGAAAGAATTTGACAGAATCTGTAGTCGTATTGAACAACTAACATCACGGCGACGAACTGTCAAATTTTAGAGAAAATTTATTATCGATATATCTCAATGTTAATTGTGGCAGATTGGGTATCACCGCGTTGTTCTCCGTAATATATGTATAAGTACATTTGCTTATTATTTTTAAGTATTATTAATATGTATAATCTAGATTTTAATATCTGTTATGCGAGTACCAACAAATAAGTTTTGATCGCTTTCGTTCTATCATTAAGAACGATATTATTATGAGTAATTGACTGATGTTCTTTATAAAATGTGCAATTATTTTTCTGTAATTCCGTAAATAATTTATGCTTCTGTTTATAAAGTAAAAAGAAATTATGCAAACATCCAGTAAAAACAAAATTTGGATGTTCCAATTGACTTTTCGTAAAATCTGAATCTTTGAAATTTCTATTTATGATAAAATGTGTTCATATAAATTGATTACTAATTAACTTAAAACGTCATGTGGATGGCACAGCTTTGAAAATTTGAAACCATGAATCAAAAACATCATGAACATTACATTATGTTACACTAATCGAACATGAGGGAAAACATTTCACTCATAGGATAACTGTTCCGATTACTACCGCTTTAAGTACATAATGATAATTGATATGCTTATTTTGATGTTTTTGAGATAATAGACATCATTTTTTTATGTTCAAGTAAAAAACTTTAATATATACAAAATAAAAGCAATAAACTTGAAAACTAATTATTTAAATATAGCGAAAGAAATAAAATATAAGGAACACATATTACTGCCAGTCTTTGTTCAAATACTGCATTATCATTTACTGCCACCCATTTATTGCACACTGTATTAAAATCATTCTGGAAATATCTCTATAAAAATATCTTTAAAATATTATTTAGTGATGTTTGTTAGTAATATTTATATCGTTCTACACTAAGAATACCTGTCACTTCTTTAATCAAAGACGTTCAAATTGGCAGTAATTAGCGCATTGGTACATATGTTCATGCATAACAGGACTCATTTACTGCCGGCAGTAATGCAAGTAAATCTTAAATAATTAATAACGTTGCTATTTCAATAAATCCTTGGAAAATTTCGCTGAAATTATTTCACGTTTTGGAACATTTCAGTAAAATTTTAGCAAAGTTTCAGTTTAATTTCAGCGATTTTTCTATATGTTAGCTGAAAAATTCACTTTCAGTGAAATTTCAACAATTTTCATAAAATTTTCCAAAACGTGGAATAATTTCAGCAAAATTTGTTCACCAGGGATTAAATATTAGAAAAGTAACCTATCACCTTTTTGTGCTTATTTTATTAAAATATCATTTAAACGGTTCATAAAATTGCTTTAGTACATATAAAAAAATGAAAATTTCACATATGCTTGCACTGTCAAGTCATGCACACAATTCTGCTTCACTTCTAATTAGAAGAACATGGAGAGTTTGCATCTTCAGCAACATTCCTTAACTTCTTTAATTATTTTATAAATATAAAACATATCGAATATCTCATACAATTGTGCTTATATTTATATAACAGTCGTAGTTTAACATTAATAATATTTTTAATGTATAATATAACGATCTCATACTTTCATACTGCAATTGAAAAAAACGGCAGTAATTGGGCAGTTACCCTATTTTTCTTAAAATATTCAAAATTGGAAGGTACTAAATCACTATAAATCTTATTTATCATTATCTAAGCCCTATATGTTATTAATTTTTATAATATATTTTTAGGTGATAGTATATCTAAGTAATAGTATATCTCTGGTAATTCCCAATCAGTTAACATTGAAGAGATTTTGCTAATAAATGCGTTCTTTAGTGTTGACTTGATAACAGACAACATGAAAAATAAATAAAAATACAAAAAAAATGAAAAATACCAGAAAAAGAACAAAAAATGTTAATAGCTTATTAGGAATATAGATAGAGATAAGTACAGAGTGACGGACTATTGTATGTTAACTTCACGCAAATAATTATCGATTTGCCTTAAGTTTTTAAATTGAACAATTCCGTGCATTTTATCCCTTCAGTTAGTATTATATATTCGTACCTCTGATCATACATACACATATGAATACACATAGACACATACAAAAAGTGAATATGTATGCTACGTTTCTTATTCATGAAAATATAATTGCTAAATAAACATTTAATAAAACCCACTATATTGTTACTTTACTGCTTACCAAATTTACTTAGAGTTTTATTTATTAAACGTCAATCAGACTTGATTGATAAAATTTAATACGGAATAACCAAGTGTTTTTATTTAATACAAAAATTTTTGTGCACAAAACGTATAATTAAAACACATTGAAAAGACAATATGTTGAAATTTGACATAATTTTATTAATATTAATATACAAAATAACTTATTTTGCAACTTATCCTGCTTTAATTCAAATGAACGAAATACATTTTCAATGATATTTTCAAATTAAAGTAAAATTAAACTATGTTTATTATTAGGCTATCATTTATATTTTTTATTGAATTAAAAATGATAGCATTTTGAATAAAATCAAATTTTTATTCAAAACGTTATCAAAATGAAGATTCAAGAACAGATGTAATATATATTTTCATCGTATAAAAAAAGTCATGTGTTATACATCTCTTTTATGTTTAATTTTATATCTATATATATTGATCTTCATAAAATCATGTTTCTTGTTTTTGTTGAACTTAATTGCGTGGATTGGATTTCTCATCAGCTTCCTATAATTAATTTGAAGGATTAGACACAAAAAAATAAAACAAAAAATATACATAAAAATGTATTGTACCTCAGATGCGGTTTTCGGAACTAATCCTAAGCTATTGAGCATACCAGATGATGCTGATTCATCAACGGGACGTGCCGATAATTTTTTACACTTTATCAAGTGTCTCGCTGTAATATATCAATTGAAATTAAACTCCATTAACAATATCGAATATATTACATTTTTCTTCAAGAATATTATACCTAATTGATTGCCATCAATTGATGTATACCCGCATAAGCATTGCAATTTCTTATCTAGCGGGATATTAACTAAAGGAGATGGTACGATCAGACTGGTCTTCGGTCTTTCATTATGAATTTGTTGTTGATGTTCTTGGAATGCGCGCCAACAACACGTAACATAACGACACTGTTGACATCGTTGCTCGCCTCTGTGCATTATATATATAATTTACGTTATTAATCGCAAGATTGTTGATTTTAGAATAATATACTTACGGATAATGTTCATCTTCGTCAATATCTTCTTCACATTCCTGGCAGGATAAATATCTGACGGAAGTATTCACCAAAATTGGCCCACTACTCCACTTTTGTATTTTTTCATCTGGTGGTAATTCGGGTAGAGGACTATCTACAGTAAATCGTGTCGTTTCCAGTACATCTTTTGAGACCATTATGCCACTGTTGCTGGCTGAATATGGTACCGCCTCTATATATTTATTTTATGATTAAACGATAATATTACAATCTTTTCACATAATATACAAGCGTATTCAAAGTATATTTAAAAAAAAATGATATAATCGATATAAAATAAATATATAAGTAAAATTATGATTAAATTTTTGCCTAAATTCTCGCTAATTCGTTAGTAATGAAAAAAAATTTATACATACAGCGTAAATATTTAACCACATATTAAAATATCTATATATATTTACTTGAATTAAAAACATGATCGTGTAACTCCCGTTGATGTAATGTTAAGGAACTCTTTTGGTTGAACCAGAGACAACATCTTGAACATTTGTTGCCTTTTCCTTGATCCCTTCTTACGATGTGCCTTTGCATATGCGTCAAGTAAGCGTACACATTGGATGCGTTCGACTTGCCTTCGTTCACAAAATGTATTACCTTTCACAATAGAAAAGTTGTATTAATCTATATTAACACAGGAATAGGAATATCTGTGATATTTTTCTCTTCTTACTTTAAGACAATACGGGCATTGCAATCCTTCGCCCTTTTCGTGAACTTTATAATAATGATCTATAACGTCCTTATGACTGGATGTACGATAGCCGCAATTTTCGCAATGATACGGCATCTCGGAAGGATAATGCATCAATGACAAATGATCAATTAACGATTTGCTCTTACCTGAACGAGAAACATGTACAAATGTGATTATCTCGTATTATACATCTTATTTATCTTCTTGCATAATTACGGATTACAAGTCGAAAATATCAGCTTACCAAATTTCTCCTCGCAAATCGCACAAACTACCATGACGCTATCACAATGTCCGAAATTGCTGTGTGTTTCTGACACATGAGTAATCATTTGATGTCGAGACGATAGCGGGGTGCAACAATATCGGCATACCGATAATTCCAGTTGACCTGGCACTTGCGGTGGTACATGACTAACCATATGCTCCATCACTTCTGTATTAGATCTCATTACAGTCGTACAGAGGAAACACTACAAGCCCAAAAAATATATTTGTCAAATATAAACATGCTAATAGTATGACAACACAAAAACTTTGAACAAACCTTGAAATATAAAGAAACTCTTAATTCCTTTAAGACGAGGTTCTTATCACCCTCCATTGTAGCATAATATAATTCTTGAAGTTGAATTTGTTCTTTCGGATCTTTTTCATTTTTATCTTCTTTTTCTTTATTACTCTTAAAATCAATTGCTGCTCTTTTTGCTTCATGTTCCGTCGGAGTTATTATATTACCTCGTTTTCTACCCCGGCGCTGTACTTTTGCTGCAATAGTTTCTGGAGGTTTCTGAGATATTACATCAGTTACCGAAATTGAATCTTTCGATGTTGTAACTGATGTATCAGTTGACGT